TTGCAAAACTTTCGTTTTTGCAAAACTTTCGTTTTTTGCAAAACTTTCGTTTTTTGCAAAACTTTCGTTTTTGCAAAACTTTCATTTTTGCAAAAATAATGTGTTATTAAAAAACGCTGTACGAAAAACCTTTTGTTTCGCGAAAAACTGTTTTCTGAACGCACCGTGTCGCGGTCGTTGTAGTAGAACATGGAGGACTTGGCCGCCGCCTCGTCCCTGGCGCGCGCCTTGAGCCACACGGGGCTCTCCATGGCGAACAGGGTCTGCAGCGTCAGCGGGATGACGAAGACGGCGCAGTTGGCCCAGGCGTGCGTCCGCCAGTGCATGGCCGCGCCCATCACGTAGCAGACCACGATGGCTGCGGGGATGAGGCATCAGTCTCAGCTACAAGGTTCTCCGGGCCGGGCGGGGCGGGGCGGTACGACTCACCCATCGACGCGAAGCCCGTGGCCATGGCACTCAACCCGCCGCGGATGTTCTTGTTGGCCACCTCCGCGCAGAACAGCAGCGAGGGCGCGTGGCACATGCCTTTGGCACCGAGAGAGAAAAAAAAAGTCATATTCGTCACACAGGAAAAAATCAGAAAAAACAGTTAAGCAATCAGAAAAGTTCAGGAAAAAATCAGAAAAAAAATCGAAGAAATCGGAAAAAATCAGAAAAAATTACAAAAGTTACAAAAAAAATCAGAAAAAATTACAAAAAAAAATCAGGGGGGCAAAAAACCATGAACCTCGGGGTGACCCTCACCGATGGCGACCCCCGTGAGGAGGCGGCCGGCGACGAGCATCTCGAAGGACGTGGCCGTGGCGATGAGCACCCAGCCCGCGCAGAACGGCGCGGCCCCGGTCTTGATGAGCAGGAGACGACCCATCGCGTTGTTGAGCAGCATGGAGACGAGCGCGCCGAGGGGGACGCTGAGCACGAACGTGCTGGCTGCAAGGGGGAGGATCCGGAAGTAGTGGGAGCAGAGGCGGGAAGTTTGAAAAATAATAATAATAAAACATAAAACTGCGGCACCCTTACCGATCCAGGCGCTCTCCGAGCGGACCAGGGGGATCTCGCTGTCGTCCTTCTCCAGAGCGGGGATGAGGCTGGAGCTGTACGCCATGCACACCCCGGTCATGAAGTGGAGCGTCTGCACCGACACGCACGCGCCGAACTGTGGTGGGCGGGGGGAAACACGACGGTTATATTGGAGACAATAAAATTGAAAAAAATATATGCAAACTTTCTTAGTCATTGCTTTGTTGCTGTTTTTTGTTGTCTTTCTTCATTA